GTCTCAGTCAATTGGATTAGTTCTTTTTGGCTGAAGACATTGAGCTACAGGGCATTTTTAGTGTTTGCTCGCTCCTCATGGAATTCATTAACCATGGAGGTCAGACTGGCTGACTCTTTAACATGCTCTAAATCTGAACTTAAGGTACATATTTTCAGATTGCTTATTAGGAAGTGTAAGAGTTATATGGTTCTCTCTGTTAGGTTGCTACAGTCTTTTCACATAGGAACATAACCTTGAGTGTCAGTACTTGAGAGCCAGAATTAGCGTTGTCTCAGGGTTATTTTTGCTCTATGCACTGCAAGAAAAAAATCAATTTGTAGTATTGAAACTTTTCCCAGTAACTTTGTAAGGATCTGCAGAGAAGAGGTGTGGCAGATGGAAACCCAATGCTTAGACAAGACATTCCTACTTTTAAAGCACAGTTGACAATATGATCTAGATCAATATTTCCAGGAAGCACAGCAGACAAAGTAGAGAGCAACTGTCTTTTTAAGTCATTTTTTTTTTAGTATTTCGTGCAAATATTATGAGCATTTGCTTTTAAGATATTTATAACTTTTCCTTTCTTCCTTTTCTCATCAGCACACATCCAGAGAAGCTTCCTTGGTTTTAGCTGGTCTGCACCACAGTAAATGAGCACTGAATTCAGCCACTAGATCAAATTAAGCTCTGATCTAAATAATTAATAAGACTAGATCAGATAACATTTTTACTGTAATAACAGGCATTGTTATGGATGCCTGTGTGGTGTGATGATACTTTCATTCCACAGTGGTAGTGCAGGTGAACACATCCCAAATTATAAAAGCAGAACAAACTTAAAAGGTTGGCTAACAAGAGTCTAACGGGATTTGATTTGCCCCTTCCCCTGTGTCCTGGGGATAAATCAGCTGCTATGGAGAGGGTGATGCAATCAAAAGAGGGAGGCATGGATGCAGTTAATCCATGAACGTGCTCCCTATATTGGTATAGCACATATAAAGAACAATTCCCTATCAGCAGTGTATGAATAACTGTGTCTTGAGCTTGCATGCCAACAGTTATGTGTGGATGTCATCACTTTAAAAAATAAAAGCTGTTTCTATAGACATGCAAGACAGATTGGTGAATTTGCCTGGTTTAAATTAGGCTGAGTGGTTCATGATGGTGCAAGGAGAGGAAAGATATTTTAATAAAACCAGCCAAATCAAACCTTCCCTGCCCAATCGACTTTTCACAGAACAGGTTGACAGGGTATTAAAAGCTGTTCCATTGCATTCTGCATGTGAAAAGGGTGCCTAGCATCTAGATTTAATAGAGCCCTAAATAGCTATAGATAATTTATTCTAGTTATAGCTTTAAGTTCTGTTTTTCAGAGAATATGAGTCTTACAAAAAATGGTTTCCATGCAAATCAAAACCAGCTGAAAGCTTGCCAAGGCCAAGATGTAATTTAAGATGGCATTTAAGCTGCTCTGTCTTTTCTGTCTCTAGAGATATCATCATAAAATAAAAGAATTCATCAGGTAATGTTTTCTTCATTATTCAACTGCACAATTCTGAAGCGAAAAAGATAATTAGACATACAGTGCTGTCGACACATAGTTTATTAGGAGATTCTGATTAATTAGCTATGGTAAAAGGTTTTTATATAGTCATAATTACTTTATATTTCAAGAAAAAAAGGCAAACAGACAGTACACAGATTTTAATATTTCTTTCCTCTGACAAATTTATCAAAGTAATTCTGAAGTTCTGTTGAACCTACTGCACTTCATTGTTGCTTTATAAAGTGGAAACAGACATCTAACAGCACAACTAATGCTGACTTCCCTGGGAGTCATCTTAACACCCTCACATCAGTTTGAAAAATTCATTTTTTTCTCTGCTGAACCAGCAAGTGAAACAACTGTGAACTGCTCACCAAGACACACCCTGGTCTGAAATACGTAGAATAAGCAATGCAAAATTTGGATGTAACACACAAGTTGCCTTCTAAATTTTCGTATTTCCTTCTACCCAATTGACCTGATCTACAGTAGGACTGAGGTCAAAAGCTGATTATTCCGTGCTTCCTTTACTTTTGCATATTGTGGATTATCTAAAAGAGCTGGACATATTCTCTCCACACTGTCATGGTATCTCCAGACTTGTGCTCACACTCAAACCCAACCTCCCTTCACAGACCTCACAGAGGATACACTTTGATTTAGGCTTTGGTCAGCACAGGAATGAGCCAACTGCTGCAGCAGGAGAAGGGAAGGATGAGACAAACTCAAGCAAATTCAAGCACAAAGAAGAAATGCAACTTGTTCAAACCATTCGGTGCAGAAAAAACCCTCACTGATCTTTGAGATGATTTTTGAACTGCACCATTGTGTATTCAAGTTTATTAGCCATAGTACAGAAAAAACCCTCACTGATCTTTGAGATGATTTTTGAACTGCACCATTGTGTATTCAAGTTTATTAGCCATAGTACAGAAAAAACCCTCACTGATCTTTGAGATGATTTTTGAACTGCACCATTGTGTATTCAGGTTTATTAGCCATAGCACCTCTGTTCTGGGATATAAAGTTCCATTTTTTTGTGAAACAAACCCATTATGAATTCCTGTTTGGATATGAGGGTAGGTGTAAAAGCACACATTCCATCACCAGTACTGATCAGGGTTTGCAGGTCACTTATTCTGGGAGACACTTAAAGTCTTCTCTTGGGGCCTTCATCAACAACCACTGGCGACAGCAGGAGTCTCTCCAATATAATTTGACTTAATCTTTTAAAAATGCTCAGGTGGCACTTCAGCTATGGGCAGAACTAGAAAGACTGACAAAACCCTGTTTCTTCTCTTCTTTCAGTAAAAACCTTAGTGATAAAAAGTAGCTCAAAACTAAACTGCAAGATTCCAGGTAATGTCCATTCCGTTTCTGGTTAAGCTTATTTAATGCAGTACATTACTCAGAATGATTTGGAGCTATAAAAAATGTTACAATAGTGAAGATTCCTGAATAAATAATTGTCAATTAAGTGTTAGCACCTAATTATATTAACTTATAGTAATTACTGATTCAATTATGAAATTGAAGATTAACCTGAAAATGCAGACTGGCTAATTTATTTTTATGATAGCTATACACCAATAGCACATGTAGTTGGGCTTCTCTAGGCACAAGCAAGGTAAGGGTTATTTTAACACTCTTTTAGATTGTCCTGCCACACTTGAAGAATATCTGACTGGAATACATACTGAATTGTGTCTGACACAATGTTCTATTCATTTTTCTATAGTCTCATGTATCTTGCACAGAAATAAGGGAAGAAATAGGCCTTGCTATTTATCATCTCTGTTTATGGTTGGGGTTTTTTTCAGTCAAAATTTGCATGGGATATTTCATGACTTATACTTACTTTTATAGTAGGTATAAGAAGAAAACATATTTCCTAATACACTTGTTTTTGAGTTTTCTCTTGGGAACAAGAAAGTTTGAGAATGCTTTATGGTTCAAATTTGGATGGAGGGGAGAATGGGGTCAATTGTCGCTCTAAATGACATCAGTTAAGTATTTAAAGAAAGCTTTTGATGTTCAGAACAGTGAGGAGTAAGATGAAGATGACAGACTAAAGCTTCCTTTGGGTCAGAGAAGATGGACTAGATGAACTCCTTAAGCTCCTTCCAGATTGTAGATTTTATGGAAGTGTGTAAGACTTTTGGTGTTTTGATCTCTCATGTAATCTTATGATTACATTTTTTCTTTCCATACTGTGTGTGACTAAGCAAAGAGTTTTGCCACATATTCGTACTTTAAAATCACGTGACTTAAAAAAAAAAATAGCAGTGTGCCTTGGAATCTTAAACAGGTGATTTCTCCCAATCCCAGTTTTCAGTGATGATTTACTTATTGTGCATGTTACAATAAACATCCTGATTCTCAACTACAGAGCTAACAAGCTGTATTTGTGAGTGGTGCATGTGGCATATGGAAGAGGTAACAAAGCAGCAAAGATTACTTCACGTGGACAGATTATGTATTATTTGTTAGTGTGTCACTTCCAGTGCTCTTTCTTTTCCAAGTGAAAGTATAAAAAACCTGTGATTAGCTATGACGCTTTATGTGTTAGCTTTTACCCAGATAAATGTCAGATTTAGATAATCCTATAGGATCTGGGCTTCAAAAGCTTGGAAACATGACTCTGGAAGTTTAAGAAAATACATACATACATATTATTGAGATTAGTCCAGCAAACAGCACAGTCCTGCAATAATAATGCATGGAGTAGATTGAGTTTATCAACCATCTCCAAACATTTCCTATGTGAATTAGTGGAAACCAAGCAAATGGGAAAGGGGAGTGGATTATTCAGTAAAGATGACTAATAAATGTATCATTTCTCCCTAATCCATCTCTGTCCTAGCATGTTTTTTAAAATTTCGATCTCAAGTATATTTGTAACTTTCAGGAAGATAAAATATAGTACATATGGCTTCCAAAAGTGACTGCTGTGGATAATTTTTTTTATTCCAGTTCTTGGGCTTTCACACAGATAGTTGGTTTTTCCTCTACCATTCTCTTTTGCTTATATTTTTCCCATTTGAAATACCAAATATCTATAGAGCACTCAATTAAAAAAAATCATTATGAAGACCAGTGCTGTAAAATCAAAACATTTTTCTATTGTAAGAGGAGTTTCTAAAACTGATCAACTTTTTGGTCCATCACAAACTAAACATCTGTAATTGTCTGCCAGCCCTACAAAGTATCATATTTATTAGGCATGCCATTCTTGGGAAGTGAACACTGCAGGAAAATGTTGTAACTAATCCTCAGGCATTCAAATCCTTTTCCAAAATTAATTTTGCTTTTGAATTTTGTCTTTTAAAACACAAAGTCAAGTGCACTATGACACTACCTCAAAGAAAGAATTTCTCCCTTGCAGAGCATGCAGAGACACAAATAGTTTTAAGTGCACACTTACTGAGAGTTCTGCTGTATACCCAGATCTTACTTCTTTGTCACTTACCATGTTGTTATACAAGAAAGTGGAAAATTTCAGCCCCCAGCAATCTGTGCTTTTGACTTGTTTTCCTCCTCAGGTTGTCAAACTGCAAAAACATAACAAATGTAAAGTCAATTTAAAAAAAGAAGTAAAATTTTCTGTAAAACCCCATTTGTGTTTTGAAGAAAGTCCAATTGCTTCACCTTTATACATAAACCTGTCACTACCCAACACAATGTAGGTAAGTGATATAGGAGCTCACTGTCTCTTTTCACTTCATGACTCAGGTACCAAATGTTTCAATCACTTTCAGTGCACACTGTATTATCTACACTCTCATAAACACTAAATATTTTAAGAGTTCTTTACTGTTAAGAAGTTGGAAAATTGAAGGCATGGAGGTATTGAAGGAGAGGAAATCAAGCTCTTCAATACAAAACAGAATTTGTCACTGGATGTGCAGAAGAAGTGTGAACAGCGAGGTTAACCCTGTACTCAAGTCCTCCCTTTCCCATTGCTGTTAAAATCTATTTCTTGCTGATGGTGAACTCACAAATGCAAAAATCACCCACCTGTCTGCCCACTCCACACAGCTGCAGAGATCTGGCTGCTGATCCAACCATCTGCAAAATGCAGCAGCCAGTTAATGAAGGAATTCAAAGCACTCTTAGAAAACCAGGTTTAATTTGCCAAGTGTCGCCTGCAACTCCAAAGAGGCACCCATTCTTTGGGATTCTTGATTAACAGCATTGGATTCAGTTTGGGAACCTAAATGGGCAGGCCAGCCAGCTTTAGCATTTCTGAGTTGCATCAAGGGCCTGATACAAACCAGCCTGGTTTTGATTCCTACACCAAAACAGACAGACTAGAAAAATCAACCTCACTGGTATCTAGCCCTGCAAACCTTAAAAAAAATCCACTCAGAAATCCACATCAGACAGACTTCTGCTGTTTACACACAGTTCGCTATTTTCATAGAAAATATGTGACTGGAGCTTCCTGACACTTTGAGATATGTGAAACTAAATGTACTGAGAATTTGGAGTGGGAACACTAAATTTAGAATTTAGAGTACTCAGCACTGATGTAATTGAGCCCTTATCAAAATATTTATTTCCCCAGCAAAAAAAGAAACAGAGCAATGCTGTGCAGTTTTGAGCAAGGAAAAAAAGGATGAAGAAAATATACTGGGTACTTACAACACAAATGATGGGCTGTTAAGAGATAAGGGATGGTATAGATGATGTCTCCATCCTTTAAATTACATCCTTCTCTTGGAAACAACCTCTGTGTAAACTGCAAATAGACAAGACAACACTTAATGAGAAAAGAATAGGATTCTGTTTATTCTAAGTCACACATCTAATTTTTTAACAACATTACAAACCCAAAGCTTTTGGAAAATTACTATTGAAAAATGAGGTATAATACAACTATACTTAAAATGTGCTAAATTATGATGATCTGCCTGACACTCTCATGTAGAAGCAAGAAGAAATATTTTCCAAAATGCGTGTTGATTTACCCCCATTAATTCCTTTTTTTAAAACAAATAATCCATCCTGAAGTGTTTGTTTCCAATCTAAAGGCCACTTAAGATATGGAAAGATTGCAGTCACTTAACAATGTGTGTTCAGTAGACACTTTCATCCCCCCAAATATACACACACCAATTACCTTACCTTTTGCACTGGCTCTGCTATCCCAAAGCATCCCAATGTACTTTGCAAATATAATTAACAATATGGCCTGTCAATGTCCACTGTTGATATGCAACTGCTGGTTCTGAAACCATCAGCACTTGGCAATACTGTGTAAATGTTTAAACCAAAAGTGAAGAACTGCTTATTAGTCTAGGGGGCAAATATAACCACTGAACTTGGAGTTTGATTGGGATTAAGCCCTGGGGTTTACAACCCTGCTCCTATTATTGCATTCCCATGGAGCCTTGATGGTTAGCACCCTTTAGTTGTGTCATGGATAATAATGCTTGATTAGGTGACTGCATCAGAAGGAAGGGTGCTACACCATGAATAAGCCTGGGTTTGGTTTGGTTTTGTTGGGCTTTTTTTAATGAGAGAGTTCAAATATATTTTTCCAAAGTATCTATTCGGTGTAGAATCATAGAATCACAGAATCAGCTGGGTTGGAAGGGACCTCTGAGATCATCAAGTCCAACCCTTGATCCAACCCT